AATTATTGCCTTTTGAAAAAATTCAAACAATAAATAAGCATGTGTACCATATATATTTTAAAAAAAGATATTCCGATTGGTGCTATAATTTTTTGGATATCTCCTTTAGTTTCCGATGTACTGAGTAAGGAGTATTGTTACTTTAGTAAAAACGTTAATTACATTTTGTGGTGCATATGTCATAAAAAGTGGCTGCAAAATTGTCGAAAAATGTACCATACTACACAATTTTACTTAAGAAAATCCTTAACTCAAAGTAATTAACATTAATATGAAATAATTTAAGAATTTCATGAACTAGAAACATTCTTCGAGACTTTTCAGAATTCGTAGGAAATTGCATACCAAACTTCAATCGCGATTTTCAAACCTGCCAAAAGTACCATATGACAATATCTTTTCCAGACTACGAAAAAGAGTTAACACGAAAAGAAGAATTCTCTAGTTTATTGTACTATTAATGCCATGAAATGGCATGTGTTTTTATAATCATGATTGCTAAGAAAAAATTTAACAAAGATAACAAAAAGGGACAAATCGTTATAATTGCAGTGAGTGTGAGTAACAGGGGCATGTCTTCTCTTTTGCCCTTGTACGATTTTTGACTGGATGAAAAGCTACAATTATAACGAGTGGTCCATTGTTATTATCTACGTTCTTTGATTTTAAACTCCATGAATACCAGTATCCGGACAAATTTTTTAAATGGAACTATCGTTTTCTTATCAGGTACTAGAAAAGACTATGGCCCATTAAAAACAGCAGATTCTCCTATACCGAAATACAATCATTTATATTTTATTCCTATCAATGGGCAACGCCGCTTGTAATATATACAAGTTATGAAACATCAAAAATGCCTGTATCCGTCAAAAAAATTTAAGTGGGACTACTTTCTATTTTTTTTAACATGCTTTCTATATTTTTTTGCGATGTTAGTTTGACCAAGGCTTGAAACCAGGCCCTGTGGAGTGAAAGTGCGCACTACTTACCACTACACGACAGCGGCCGCATATTATACAGTCAAAAAAATAAAAACCCAAAAATCATGAAATAAAAAAAAATATTTTTTATGTCTTTTTTTAGGTTTGGAGCCATTTTGCGCTCTAGTGAGTTCTTTGCCGGAACCAGCAAATAACGTCAACAGCTTTTCTTGTAGTTATCCTTTCCAGGAATATTCGGAAGCGACGATCAATCCCTTCTTGATTGAAAATTTCATTTTCATCCTACAACCTTGATACAAAAAAAACAAGATAGCAAAGAAACTCTTCGACTTCCTCATCCGAAAACGCTCATTCGAGGTGTTGCAGTGGTAGTCCCTTTTGACCCCATATTCGGAGTGCTCCGAAAACTCTACTTCAAGATGTTGCTGTGGGAGTCTTTTCAATCCATATCTTGAGCGCTCCCCATTTGGCTAGCTAATTTTTTTACCAATAAATTCTGTCTCGCGTTCTCAGTTATTACAGCTCTTCTGAGTTAGATGGCATTCCTAGCTGCTGTTCCTTCTGATACACTCTGATTCACTTGAAGAATGACCAATTTCGAAGAACAGTGAGGAAAATGGAGAAAATACCTTAAGCAGAATATACAAAATCAGACTTGTATGCATGCTTGGGCGCATGTCAGTTCAGTATACACCTATGCGACACGTTGTGCAAACATCATTTTGTTGTAATCGGTGGAGTGAGCGAACATCACGGCATACGAATTTACTTTTTCTCAGCAAACATTTAGGACCAAATTCATAGTGCGTAATTTGCTCAGAATCGGCAGTTAACTACGGACTGTGAAATTGGCCCTTAGAGCCACAAATTGGCATAGTGGACACTTATTGCCCTCACACACCGTTTTTTCCAATAAACAATCCTTTCCTTTTCGGCCTCCGCCTCTGTTGGCCGGCCGCACAGAAAGGAGAAGTCTATTTAGTAAGGATATAACCGCCTAGCGCGGCCGAAGACCGCCTCCCCAAAAAGAGATTTTTAAATAAAAGCCTCTACAGAAATGGTATATAGCACACATGCCGGGCGGGCGTTTCGCGTCGTATTCGCGTATACATACACGCTCTGCTTGGGAAGGCAGCGAAAGCTTCATTCAACTGCACAACTTGTTCGCACGCACTGCCGAAGCTATCGACCTCTGGTATATAGCCTTGGCGGGCTCCCTCTCCTCCAGCAACACGGAAAGGCTCCAGTCAGTGCCTGCATCTACTAAATACAAGCAATAACGCAAGTAAAAATTGTGGTTTTTGCCCATTTTTGTAACATGTTGTATACTATACTGTTTCATTTTTGTGAACATATTGTATACTATAAACCATCGTACAGTTCCATAAGTAAGGTAACTCTTATTCTTACGGTTTTTTCTGGCAGGCTGTAGGTGTGTTTTTGGTTCAGTGTGTTAGTGTATTTTGATTAAATTGTAATAGAAATAAAAGAAATTGTAATAGAAATGAAATAAATTGTAAAATACAAGAGGAAATGCCAAAACACGGGTGATCTCAGCTGTAGGCATTTTTTTGGCAATCAGCTGATATTTAGTGTTTTATCAAGCTACACTGAAAATCTTCAATTCATATCAATTGTAATATTTAAAACTATAATCTCAGTGTATGGAAAACCCCGGTCCAAAAGACTTCTAGAGGCATTTTATGCACATAATTCAAGGACATCTCGCTCCTTATCATTTTCACCGCCGGAAGGAGCAACTGCCAATCATCAAAAATATTGTCTGACTCCTCGCAAAGCTAACAGTCAACTCCTAACATTAGTTAGGTGAAAATATAAGCTCGGATCTTGAAGAAAACAAATCAGGGTGACTGTGCACCCGAGATGTGGATTATTTTAAGTTTTAAGGTCTTACAGCCGCACTCAGAGTCGTTTAATGATTACTTAAGGTGTCCCTCAGTAACAATTTGAAAAAATTCCCTCTCAGAGTCAGTTAATGATTCGTTAACGGATTTAATGAACATTAAAGTTAAGTAAACAAAAACCTTTACTTAACTTTTCAACGAATGATTTTGAAATTTTTTGTTTGTTTTCAATAAATTTCAATATCGATAACGTTGCTGTAACAATGGCCAATGGCCCAGAGCACTTTCGTGCCATTCAAGAGTTTCGAGTTCAAGCCTCGGCAACGAATTTTTTTTAATAATTTTTTTTTTAGTGTTATTGCTTAAAAAATTCACATTTTTTATTTTATTTAACTTTTGGAAACTTTTTTGATTCATCTTTTTTCTTTTACTTTCGGTTTCTCAAATTTATAGTTTTTACTGTTTTAAAAAAATATTTTTTTTCATTTCGTTTAGTTTTTAGAAAAGAGTTGCCGAAATATAAAGACTTTTGTCTCTCGAAAGACTGAGGTGAGTTGAAAGACAGATGCCAGAATTGGCCTGTTATTGGTCTGGTTTGTCTTTTAGCAAACAGTTTCTAAAAATTTAATTTAATTGAAAAAAATTTGTTTGCTTTTTACAGCAATAAAATCTATAAATCAAAAGAAAATTAGATCAAATATGCAAACAAAATCAATAAAGATAGTTTATAAAAATGAAATCTTACTGCCCTAGGACTCGAACTCGGATCTCTCGAATGGCACGCCAGTGCTCTGCTCACTCAGCCATTGCGTCTGTTGAGCCAGTGCGTACAAAATGATATAAATACTTATTTTTATATTTTATTTCAAACTGAACGAAAAAACTGAGTGATACCACAAAAATGAAGGGCCGCAACTGGGGCCATACTTAAATTTTTTATTTCATAATTTTTAACTCTGAGAGAAAACATTAATTAACAGATTTAACGATCATTAGTTAAGTGCCCGTTAGGGCTAATTTAAGGAACGTTTCTGAGTGCGGCTATTAGAGTACAACTCCACAACAAGCTTTTCGGGCGCTCCACGCTTTTCAGGCTTTCAGCAATAGCTAAATTGTATAGCTGAGAGCCTGAAAAGCTTGTTGTGGCGTTGTACTCTTACAGCCGCACTCAGAAACCTTCATTAAATTAACTCTAACGGGCACTTAACTAATGATCGTTAAATCAGTTAATTATGTAATGTGTAATAGGAAAGGAAAGGAAAGGATGAAAAATTTAAGTATGGCCCTTTTTTGTGGCACCACTCACTTTTTTCGTTCAGCTTGAAATAAATAAAATAAAAATAAGTATTTATATCATTTTGCGCCGCACTGCCTCAACAGTCACAATGACTGAGTGAGCAGAGCACTGACGTGCCATTCGAGAGATCCGAGTTCGATCATCGGCAACGGTTTTTTTTTTATTAAATTTTTTCTTTTCATTCTTACGTTTTATTGCTTAAAAAAATAAATATTTTTATTATTTCATTTAATTTTTAGAAACTACTAAAAGACAAAACCACTAACTGGCCAATTCTGTCATCTGTCTTCAACTCACTATAGTCTTTCGAAAGACAAAAGATTTTATATTCGGGCAACTATCTTGAAAGCTGTTTTCTGTATTTCGAATGACTAATTAAAAGATCTCCTAAAGAGGAGGGTAGCGTTATTCTTTTTGTCGTTTAGCAATAGGTTTTCTAAAAACTAAACGAAATTATAAAAATATTTTTTAAACAACAAAAACTAAGAATTTGAAAAAGAAAAAAGAAAAGAATATAAAATAGAAAGAAAAACCGTTGCCGAGGATCGAACTCGGATCTCTCGAATGGCACAAAAGTGCTCTGCTCACTGGGCCATTGCCACTTTTGCAGCAACGTTATCGAAATTGAAATTTATTGGAAGCAAACAAAAAATTTCACAATCATTCGTTAAAAAGTTAAGTAAAGCTTTTTCTTTACTTAACTTTAATGTTCATTAAATGCCGTTAACGCATCATTAACTGACTCTGAGAGGGATTTTTTTCAAATCGTTACTGAGGAACACCTTAAATAATGATTAAATGACTCTGAGTGCGACTGTTAGTTATGAAAAATTAGTTTTTATGAAAATTGATCTACCGAACCAATAAAAAATATGTATATTTTTTTGTTATTAGCATCCGGACCGGTTCGCTTGTTTACTCCCTACAAGCGCCGGAAGCGGAACCAGACGGATCTTGACGTCGATTCGGTACCGAAGCGAAAGCGTAATAACAACCCAAACAACAGTAATAATAATGCGGAACCGCCACCGACTGCAACTGTTGTAGATGAAAACAACATATTTTTAACTGAAGATAATATCACATCAAAGGACGAACCATGGCCCACATTGAATGACAGTCTCGACACATCAACTGAATTGGTTGATCAATCTCAAATTAATCCCTATGATCGCGAGACATACGTAGTCAATATAAACGACACTAGTTCAATTGCTTTGTTGGATAACAGCCAAGCAATGAAAAATCTAGAGAATGTCTACTGCACAATGGTGAAGGCCACAAATGATTTTAAACGGATCCTGACCGACTTAAAAAATTCATATGATCGGAAGATAGAAATTTTGCAGAAGGAGCGTGATGCAGCAGTGGCTGCCATGCGGAATCTTGAGGATCCAAATATTTCTGGCTCTTTGCATGGCAACGAAATAATTTCGGCAAAGAAGGTAAAAGTTTTATTTTTAAAAATACAAATTTACTTTTTAACGAATTTAATTCGATGGCTGAGTGGAAGATCGACCTATCCGGCAGCCAGTTCGAAAACGACCTATCTCAGAAAATTTTTCAACATCGTTCTATCAGAAAACTTCTCAAGAACGCCCTACTTCAGAATTTGATTGAAAAACATCCTACCTCAGAATTTGGTTGAATAACGCCCTATCTCAACTGCCGATTCAAAAACGCCCTATCTCAGCTTATTTTCAATGTATTTTCGTTTGAGATAGGGCGTTTTTGAACTGAATTCTGAGATAGGGCGTTCTACAAAAAAATTCTGAGATAGAGTGTTTTTCAATAAAATTCTGAAATACGTTGTTTTTCAATAAAATTCTGAAGTAGGGCGTTCTTGAAAAGTTTTCTGAGATAGGGCGTTTTCGAACCGGCTGCCGAGATAAGAGTCGATCTTTCACTCAGCCATCGATATGACGTTGCTATTTCCAATTTTTATAATTGTTACATAAATGATACCAATTTTCCAACAATTAGTGTGCTAACTGCAACAGAGAAGCTTTAGCCGAGTGTTCCCTTTGTCGAAAGACTCCGTATTGCTCTGAATTCTGTCAACGAAAAGATTGGAACGCTCATCAAGTGGAATGTACAAGGAATCCTGCTCAGACAACAACTCAACAGATCATGCTCCTGGTGGATGAGCAGTCCTAAGCGAACTGTACATAATAAAGTATACATATTTTAATTCTTTATACATTTGAAAATGATAAAAGAATTTAATAGCTGACAACCCGAGAATGCTAAAGATAATTAAAAACAAACAACATAAATAAAAAAAATAAAATTATTTAAACCGCAACACGAGGTAAAGTGAAAGCCAACATCCAAAAACGGAAAAAATACAACAAAAACAAAAATTAAAAACAATTGCATAATACATATTCGTCTATGTATACATTTTCATTAGTTTCTAAGCACATAGTTAAACTTTTAACATTTTATTATTTTATGGATAAAACTGCCGTTACAACATCTAATAAAGATTTCAAAATCAAATTCGTATACATTAGTGTAGAGAAAAAACAAAAACAAAAATAATAATGTGTTTTGTTCATTGCACTTGAAATCTTTAAATTTGGGTGTGTAATGGTTCAAATTATTAAATTGGAAATAAATACCCTTGACGCGATTTTGTATTATAAATTTTTGGGTATGAACTTGTGGGTAAGTACGCTATTAAATAAAAAGAAAGTTTACATATAAATATGTATATATCCCAGCAGGGATCGAAAATAACTGTTACTGATTCAAAATTGTATCTAAGAAATCCTTGTTAAGGAGGCGTCCAGAACATATCGCACACCTATATCTAAAGTGCGATCGACTCCAAAAAAAATTTGTGCGATTTTTTTTTTTTTTGCATAAATCAATTCATAGGACTCACATACAATTAATGGAAATATTTTTTTCTTCATTATTATATACATTAACTAAAAAACTACTGTTATACCTGTTTTTGTATTAATTGCATTGAATCTGTTCGATCCACAAGCAGTTAAATTTCCCTGTCTGGATTTTGAGTTAGCTCACTAGATCTAGGTGGGCGATATGATGTGTTATATAAAATTGATCGTTGTTCACAGATCTACGCAGATAAGGGGGGCTACTCTGTAATGCAATGCGTAACGCAATGCAATGCGAAAATGAAATGCGATGCGAAAACTATTTGGCACTCTGTATTGCTATCGCATCGCTGACAATGTTGCTTCTTTTATTTTTGGTTTTTTTCTTGCTTAAGTTGGCAATAGTGAGCACAAGTGTCAAAGAAAGAGAGATCAAAACAAACAAAGTAACTAAAATTTGAAGAAGTAATTAAAATATTTGTTTTAAAAATGGACTCTGTGGCATTGTGGGACGATTCAAATGATGAAAGGATTGAGGGGAGAATTATTAGAGATAATTCCAACGTTATGAGCCTCAGCGATAGAAGGTGGGTGATCTAAAATGCTTTATTTAAAATGTACACTAAACTATGTTCTTGTTCTGGGTATTTAGTTTTGTGCAGAATTCTCGTCTGACTAAAGAGGCATTTTTATATGTGCTAAATAACATTAAAAATGAGCTAAAAGTTGCGCAAAGGTCCACCGCAATCCCCGAAATGATAAAGCTTTCCAGCACCTTAAGGTTTCTTGCTCAGGGTGGGTACCAACATTTGATTGGTCAAGACCGTCATGCAGAGCTGGCACAGCAAACGGTTTCTAGTTGCATTTTTGAAGTTTGCAAAGCGATCGAGAAGGTGCTGTATGACGAATGAGGAGAAATTAGATGCCAGCAGAAGTTTTTACTCGGCATGTGGAATTCCGGGAGTAATTGGAGCGGTAGATGGAACGCACATTCAATTGATAAGGCCATAAAAAGATGAACATTTATTTTTCAATAGGAAGTTAAAGCACAGCATAAATGCAATGGTGGTAAGCGCGTTTTTCATTGAAATAAGTTAACTATTACTTAACCAGTAAATTTGTTTCTACTTAAGATATGTGACCACAAAATGCGTATTAGGGCTGTTAATGGTACATTTGGAGGTGCGTCGCACGATTCTCACATATGGAATTTATCAAACGAACGTGATTATATGAACACCAACTACGAAAATGTAGATAACAATACACAAATCCTTGGTAAGTTTTTTGATATTGCACGGCAAAGTAGAAATCGTATGCATACAATTTCGATGTTGGTGCCATGAACTTGCAGCTGTATGCATACCAGTATAAATCAACCTTCACTAACATGAGTGGTTTCTCAGAGATTATATGTAACTAGCAGAGCACCCGACGTCGTTCGGGGTAAACAAATCAAAATATAAAACAGTAATACAAATATTCAGTTCAGCATAAATTAAAGGAAACAAACTATTTTCTTTGTTTACATTAAGGCATACATTAAGCTATACTTTCAGCTTTATCGTGCTAATATATATTGATCATCACTTGTACTACAAATTTTGTTCCATTAATATTAGATAGATTAAGGTAACGATCAAATTTGTAAATTTAAATTATTCTACTACGGTACATTCCGTTTAGATGCCTATTCGATTAGCTGCTTTATTTAGCTGCACTTTTCTAGTATAATGCTTAATTCGGAAGGAGTTTTATTCATTATGAACGAACCTTTTTCGTTTAACAGCATCGCGAGATTAAAAAACGATTTAATCT